TACAGGAGGCATACTATCACATTAATGTTTGGTTCTAAACTATAATGTTTAACCTATCAATACTATAAAAACACTGTGTGTCGTGTGAGTAGGGAGAAGGTTTGCCAGGTCGTTTAGCCAAGTTTCCCCAGTCGAGATGTAAAAATCCCCTTTTCAAAAATAATCCCCAAAAAATACCATTTATTTTTTGTTACCATAAGTTTACGATTTGTTAGGTATTCTTGGATCTTAAAATATTTTTTTACATTGTCAATAATAAAGTTTTTTCTAATAATTCCTCCCCAGTAAAATATGTTTCCCCTAAAGAAATCTACAGAGAAAAATATCCCCAAAATGTTCAAAATTAAAATAAAAATTGCCTGATTTATGGGAACAGCCCGCTAAAGTGGCAACCCTGGAATCCAAAATAAAGTATGTGAGGTCGTGAAGTGAGCAGTACCAACGGAAGGAAACAAAAAAGAAAAGTAATATGAAGTTAGTCACTCTTTCTGATACAGTCCGGATAGAAAGATAAAGATACTCGTGAAATGTAGTATCGATACACCCAAGTATCGTATATAAAAATATCGATCCAAAATATTGGGTATCGAAAGCAAAAGTATCGATACTTCTAAATATCGGATCGTAACGGACATCCCTAGGAATGCTTTGATCCTCGAAATGTATCGATACCATGTATCGATTCATATCGTTTTAGGAAGTATCGATAGTCTAAAATATCGGAATAAAAATATCGATACCACAAATGTCGAAACCTTTCGATACGGAACATTCACTGCCGAAAATCTAAGTTGATTTTTCTAAAACATTCAAAACAATGTTTACTTTTTTCAGCTGCATGACTAGACTGTCAAATACGTTGTTTTAAACTATGATGTTTAATCAATCGATACTAAAAACACTGTGTCATGAGTGTGTAATTCCCCGAAACCAAAACCAAAAGGGTTGCCAGGTCGTTTAGCTCAGTTTCTCCAGTCGAAATGTAAAAATCCCTTACATTAAAAAAAATCCAGAAAAATACCATTTAATTTTTATTACCATAGGCTTACAATTTGTTAGGTATTCCATTCTTGGATCTTAAAATATTTCGTATGTCGCTAAATATCCCAAGGGGTAAAAGTATTTTACATAATAATACATCCCAAGTAAAATATGTTTCCTCAAAAGAAATCCCCAGAAAAAAATATCTTCCCCATTGAAATAAAATCCCCTGATTTTTGGGGATAACCCCCTAATATGGCAACCGTGGCATCGAAAATAAATTATGTGGAGTCGCGAAGTGAGTAGCACTAGCGGAAGGGAACAAAGAAGAAAGGTAATCTGAACTTGGTCACTCTTTCTGACACAGTTCGAGCCGAAAGATAACGATACTCGTGAAATGTATCGCTACACCCAAGTGTCGTATATAAAAATATCGATCTAAAATGCCGGGTATCAGAAGCAAAAGTATCGATACTTCTAAATATCGGATCGTATCGAACATCCCTAGGTTATAATAATAGATTATCACATGTTTATTCGATCAACGGTTAAAGAATGGCTCACTCCGTTAGAAATGTATTTAAAGGATAATTGAATAATTTGTCCATGTCTCTTATCTTCATCTGCGCAAGAAACCAATATGGTGTCCATAAGAAAAATAATGTTAAGGTTAATGATGGAGGACAAGAGAGAACAACGTATTGAGACTCAAATTATGCTGTCTTCTACAGGAGGAAAGGTGGTAATGTTAATGTGCAATGTATGCTTAAATCCAACCTCAAATAAAGTTAGGCAAATGAAACGATTTTGAGAAAATTCATGTTTTTGTCTCTGTATATAATTTGATTTGTGATTCTTTCTTACCGCCATTTTCTTAGTTACATAAATACGCAACCTTGTCCATATTTAACTGATTTCGTATCCTTTACCCATTAGTGAAGCTCGAATTTGAAATACCCGGGAAATATTATTTTTCATAATGTATTAAAGAAGTTTTACTAATCACGTTAAAAGACCGATATTGAATAGATTCAAGGAAGTATAGTAATCAAATTTAGATTAATAATCCTTAAATTGAATGTTACGTAAGTGTGTAATGTAAATAATCGAGCCGTTTTTTCTTTATATAGAGATATTGATTTATATATACTATAGGAAAAACTAGAAAAGAAGAAAAGAGTTGTGTACTAAAATTCTTATCTGTTGTGAAATGCGTCTTCATCGTCTATCGAAGGTTTGCCTGTTCGCATAGTTTGGGCGACTAGAACTTCTCCACATTATTCGACGAATGAAGCTAAAAGATTGTAACATGCCCGTACGTCCTCCGTATCCATTTTATTTCCTACCATGGGCGCTCAGGAATTTTTCACAGGGGGCCGATCGCCGACCAGAGACACCTTTTTGTGAAAGTATGCCCCTAAAACTTAGGGAATTAAATTATCCCCGAGGGAGGGGCAAATCCTCAAAAGTGTACCCAAATTATGCTAAATATCCAAATTCTAAGGTTCAATCGAATTCTTAGGAGAGCGCCCATGTCTCACAATATTCGCCAAATAATGTGGAGCAACTTAATATTAGACAGAAAAGTAACTAGTGATGGTTGGGGTTAACTCACCATATATGAGGAGGTAACTCATTTTGTATATACTGTAAATATATAAATAAAATAATACATATCATATGTTATGGCATTTAATTGTTAGGTTTTTTAAATCGGTAGTTTCCTTACTTATCCGTAAGATTGCTCAAGCCAACGGTAATTATATTAACTGTATTTAGATCAAAATGCACATCATTCCATTCAAATCAATATATGTAGTTTTTTTAAATAAAAATACAGAATATAATGGATTGTTGTTTTTTTTTTCAATTCAGGACAACTCAATACAAGAGGTAACCCTTTGCAGCCAGGTCTATTTTTTATTATGAATCCATTTTATATTCGTATTAGATATACTGAATTAGTACTAGTAAGTATAAAATGACTCATCACACAGGGTTGGCACTGTGGTAGCATCTACTAATAGAGGCGTATCATCTGCATACATAACAAAGATGCTGTTGAAATTATTCACGGATAATATATATAGAATAGGTCCGAGTATTGGGCCCTGAGGACTCCAATGCTGCGTATAGTTGGGAGGGATTTGTGGTTACCGAGCTGTAGAGACTGAGACCTATCGCTCAGATAGCTCTCAACCCACATAAGTGGAAGTCCCCTTACTCCGTATAGCTCCAGTTTTCGTAGAAGAAGCTTGTGATCTACCATGTCAAAAGCTTTGCTCAGGTCTACAAATATTCCTACTGCTTTCGTAATTTTGTCCATAGCTGTTTACATCATGTTTAGAATAGCAGAAATGGTTTGAGCTGTGGACATTCCTTTGAGAAAACTAAATTGGTAAGTGTTGAAGAAGTTATGTTTAATAAAGAAATCGGTCAGGCAAATGGCAATATATAAATGGCGAGAAGAGATTCGACTACCATTTCACTTCTGATAAAAATACCAAATCATAAACAACCTGTAATTATCGTAGAAACATCAGTTTACCATCAACAACCAAGTAAGTATATATGAATTGGTAATTATCTCATAAAACTAGTAAGCCACAGCAATGAAATGAAAATCTGGCAAATCGTAATGCCGAATCTAAGGTAGAACTTGGAACTTTCGTAAGTTCTAGCATCAAATTGACTTGGGGTATGGACTGTGCGACCGTATTTACCTAGGAGACGAATTTCGGCCCACATCACAGATACGCAAAATCCGCGGACTTGTTTTCCCTATCATTTTTACGGCTACTCGTTTTTATTGCTTTTTTCCTGAAATGCTCATTGTTCTTATTATTTTGGAATGTTTCACAATGCAGTGAGCCACAAACATTAAGCCAATGCAAACATCGCCAACTGAAGAGATCCGGTGTAAAAATCTATATCGATTAGGACATAAGCATTTAAGGAATACCTTCTCCATGATTTGGAAGGTGTCACTTGTATATGAAGAATACTTGACCTAAGGTGCTCGGAAGAATATACGGATGTGCTGTTTTAACCTTATTTAAAAAAGGGACCATTTTAACGGAGCTGCATGTTGTCAGGCCCAAATTTGCGTCAAAAATATCTAAACTTTTTTCGAGAATTGTTTTTGTCGCTTGGGACAGCAAGATATGCTGGTAGCGGACGTTTTTCATATCTCGAAAACTACCAATTTTAGTGAATAGTCAAGAACCTTTCTTGTTCAAAATCACCCAGAAGGCTAAAAAAATTGTCCAGAGCAAATAATCATTTTTGGAATTTGATTAAAAAATTGTTTATGAACATTAATGATTGAAAACAAGAGGCGAATCTCGCCTTCGCCATGGATGTTGTGTGTTTGTTTTAGGCAGCAGCGGTGGCCGCAGTAGTAGACTCTTCGGTCTCCTGATCAGTCGCCGTGCGCTGTGCGGGTTCGAGTCCCGCCCCAGGAGAGATTTTTCTCTTGGCTATGGATGTTGTGATTGTCCGTAGGTGGTAGATGGTCTCTGACTGTCGAACGCGGAGGTACCACCCGGCGGTTCACGTAGGCGGAGCCAGAATGTGTGCATGTTGCATGCACACGTGTTCCCTCGCCAGAGTCCGTGTTTCGTCCCCCTTTTTCCCATGTATCCCCCTATAGCCCCACGGTACCCAATGGGTGCTTAGGCCTTAGGCCTTCGTGGTAGTTGGAGTATAAAAAAAAAAGGAAAAAAAAATCTCCGGAAATACTCGGAATTGCGATATTTTGTGCCATTTTCTTAAATACCTGAGAATCGAATTAGAAACACTCGCAAGGGCATTACGTATCTTTAAGAGTGACATTAGGTCGCTTTTTTGACATTATATAAGTTTTGACTTGCAGCATTAGCATGTCATTGAATCATTCCTCCATAGATGGTGCTTCTGGTGGTGCTCATAGCGAGCAAATGTGGAATGAACTATTTGCACACTAGGAACTATCTAGTCAGCAAGTTGACATATTGGCATATTATATAGGTTTTTTACGTAGTAACATGGGTTGGGCGTAAACAATGATGTGAAGTAGCGGAGTTTCTTTAACCAATGATTAAAAACATTGGTTTCAATAATATGAAATCCCATTTTATTTAGGTAAATATCACAAGGTACTTAATGTAAATTTAAAAATAACTTAATTATAAAAATATAAGTAAAACAAATCTATATAAAAATAATCGCTAAATCAGTAAGCTGAATTTATTGCTGTATCTCTCAAGTTGATTTTCTCGTACCATGCCTTATAAATCTTCAAGAAATGGTCCTTGGGGGTAAAACTGAAGTCACCCAGGCAAAATATTTTATAGGCATCCTCACCATATTGGCCAATACCATACAACTCTCTAGGACTCTTCCACTGTTTATGTATGAAATCGTAAGACATACGCCATACCTGAACAGCTCTTGTTTTTTGCAAACCCAAACTGAAATTCATAGATTTCTATCAGTATTTAATCAGTGATCAGTATTGTTGTGGAATTATAAATATCTAGTTTCCAACTTACTTAATAAAATACTTTTCTAATGGTTTTGGATATTGCTCAACAACTGCCAGTGGAGTAGGGTTCTCAACCAAAAACCAGTATAAGCACATCGTAGCAACCTGACCCTTTGTTTTATTCAGAAAAATAGTTGCTACCAACAGAGACCAGGGGTCATGATACAAGTCTTCCTCTATTAAATTATGGGGAGACTTTGGTGGTATCCACATTATTTTATTGTTATTTAAGCTGTCTTTAGAGAGTAGTTTGAAATACAATGTTTTATAGTCTGGCCATAATACGGGAGTATCTTCAACAACCTTGTTTTCCTCTTTCTCTATACTTTTCAACGCCATTTTCACTTCTCATTTATACATTTTTCTTGAACTCCTAGCTGCAACAGGTTGTTTGGCTCTCCGATGTTTTTTTGTATTTTGCACAAGTTTTTATTTATATTCTTTTCACCAACAAAAGCTTTACATCACTACACATTTGCTGTCAATCACAAAACACTAATGCGATTATGGCCTCGGACCTTCTCGGTATCGATACGAAACGAGCTTATTGGTATAATCTAGTCGATACGGTATTAAAAAAACGTTTGCAATGTTTAGTTGATCGATGATTGACACTGACTAAACTTTATTAAGATAGTTGTTCAAGTAGTGGACTACACCCTAGCTGCATACAACAAAATAAAAACCATTATCTGAGCGAGCGAGCAACATGGCGTTGAGCTTCGCTTTCCAGCCGGCTTCTCTTTCTAGCATGTGTGCCTATACACACTTCTCTCTCAGACACATTGAACTCGAGCCATCAGACAAATTTGATTTTTAGTGTACAAGCTCTGCTTATTTACAGTTTTGATTTATTTAACAAAATGACATTGAAAAGACCATCAAAGTTTCGAATTTTGGTGATTGTCGCCATTGTCTTCAGAAGATTAACATGTTTATAAAACATGTTTACAACAATTACTGTGAGTCATTTAAGTTACACAGTTCGTGGTTATTGTTGATTCGATGGATTCTATGTAAGCGACTTACCCTTGTTGACTGGATTAATGATTCGTTCCATTACGAGATGTTGGAAATCTGTGATAGAATTCAGATGATTCGTTTCGTAACGAGATATCAAAAACTTGGACGTCTTGTTTATGTTTTATGATATATGATTATTATCAGCTGATTGTCATATATTTTTGCGTAGTAACAGTAGGTAGTAGGTTGTATGTGTTTTGCGTATACAACGACCATCCAAAAGAAAATACAAAAAGAAGGTAGAAAATTACTGCACAAAATTATTACATCACTTTCACCGTAAAACAATCTCAAAACCCCATTTGAGCAGTTTGACGTCAAAATGGAAGAAGACATCCTGACTACCCTGAAAATTCTCATTATAGGTGAAAGTGGTGTAGGGAAATCCAGTCTTTTGCTGAGATTTGTAGAAGACAATTTTGATCCGGAACAGACTTTAACAATAGGCGTAGATTTCAAGACGAAGAGGATGACGATAGACGGAAATACAGTAAGTAGCTTACCCTCAAGGATTAGCTGCCTAGGAAGCAATTTTTTCAATAGCACATTCTCCATATGACATTTTTATGACTTTCAGGTAAAATTAGCAATCTGGGATACGGCTGGCCAAGAAAGATTCCGAACATTGACTCCTTCATACTATAGAGATGCCCAGGGAGCTATTCTAGTCTTTGATGTGAGCAGTTACTCTAGTTTTTCAAAATTAGAAGTATGGTTAAATGAACTGGAAACATATTCTACCAAAAGTAATATTGTCAAAATGATCATCGGAAATAAAATTGATGTGGTAAGATATACTTTATTTTTACCTCCTGTCACTTTCAGTTTGTCAATAATTTTTCAGGACAGACGTGAGGTTACAAGGGAAGAAGCAATGAGGTTTGCTCGAAGGCATCAGACTCTTTATATAGAGGCCAGCGCGAAGACCAAAGATGGTGTACATGTTGCTTTTGAAGAATTAGTCCATAAGGTGAGTAGTTGCAAAAATAATAAACCTAACATTGCAAAATATAATTTATGTTTGTTGCAGATAATCCAAACACCTGGCCTATGGGAAAATTTTGGCAGTGATCATATTCATGTAGGAGTTTTGGAGAATGCCACACAGTCAGGGTGCGCTAGTTATTGTTCTCTAGTTTAGGTAATTTTTGATACCGAAGCCCAAAAAAAATATTTTTCACATTTACCTACCTGTCCTTAGTCCTTCATTGATGGTGCAGCATATTAGAAATGTACGATTATATTTTGATTTATTTTTATATAGTGTGTATGTTTGTATATAATGTTTTTGAAGATGTTCTTTCCAAAATCTCTCCTAAAGATAGACCATTATTAGATATTGATAATCATTATGTACTAAAAGTATATACAAAATGTTTAGCTATCTTAGTTCTTTGGTTCTATGGAGTACTTTACCTGCATATGGAACAAAATTTGGGATAGCAGTCATATTTTCAAGTTCTTTTAAGATCATTTTAGCAATATTTATGTATTATGCACTAGTAATATCGGATATTACAGTTGCTTTTATAGGATAATATATATTTGATGTATTTTTAAAATTACTGTGTTATGAAATTATATTTTGTTTGATAATATGTAATAGGTAATGGGACTGGCTTGTTACTGTTTTTACAAGAAAATATTCACAATCTGCTTCCTTCATTTTTATAATCTAATCATGTCTGGACAGAATCGGGAAATTGTAATTGTAAAAATGAATAAGTTTTCTTTGCATCAGTGCATTTTTACCAGGCAGAGTAATCATTCACAAACTCACTAATACCTATTACTAACAATCTCTCTTGTAACACGTAATAAACCATAGGAAATGAATCTTGGCTTTGATCATTGACTGGCGTGATGACCCATAATTAGAAAACAATTTTATAAAATAAGCTTTCTACTGAATACGGCCCTGTCCACTCTCCTAGTTTTGAAGCTACTGTTGACGAGCGAACGAGTTATTGAGGACTCTTAACGTTCTCGATACGTAACGAATTAAAAGTTGATCATTATTGACATTACCCATCACGATTTGTCATTTTGAAGTTTGAGGTTAACCAACTTAGAAAGGAAAATAAAAAGGATTTCCTCCCAATTTTTTAATTTGTCTAGTGAATGTTCAAGAAAACATTGGGCAGCATAAGCATTTTTTGATCTACGTAAAATGACCTCCGTAAATCCAGATATATTGAAAAAATTCAAAAATGCTACAAAGTTACCTGCAAGACAAGAAGCAGATGGACATGAAATTCCAGTATGTTATGACTTGTAATAATTTTTAACAATACTGCATAATATTCTCTTTTAAGGTTGAAGTACGAGAGGATGAAGAGCAATCTGTAAAAGCTCAAGAAATCATTGACATACTGGTAGCTGCAGGATACTTTCGTGCAAAGATCAAAGGCCTTTCTCCATTTGATAAAGTAGTTGGAGGAATGACTTGGTGTATAGAATTGTGTAATGTAGACGTTGATGTAGATTTGCTTTTCCAAGAAAATTCAACGATTGGACAAAAAATGTAAGATAAACTTCAATCGCCATTGCTTGTATGTCTGAAGTTATCTTTTTAGTGCTTTAACAGAAAAGATTGTCGCTGTCTTACCAAAGTTGAAGTGCCCCCATAGGATTGAACCACATCAAATACAAGGCTTGGATTTTATTCACATTTTCCCTGTAGTGCAAGTAAGTCTTATATAAAATTTATGTTAAGCATTCCATATACTCCATACAAAATCACTCAATTGTTTAAGGGAAGAAGTGAATGGCCAATAACACCAATATATTGAATTTATAAGCCTCAAATATAGTCAAAATCACCAAAGATGACTATTACGTCATAACAAATTGTAGTAAAGTATCAATGGACGTGCGTCGATGATAAAATCACGATGTCAGGAACATAATGACAACAAATTTATATTATGATGTTGTGAAATTAGGTTATATCTCTGATTATTTTTATTTTCATTTTATTTCATGGTTTTGAGTGATACCTTAATGATAATTTTAGTGGGGAGTTTTTGTTTTGAAAATAACAGTTATGAGTAGAATACGTTAAGACAGGAACACCAAAGTATTATTCGAAAACAACCTAACCTGCTTTAACATAACCTAACTATCCATCTTTCAAATATTATTATTATTATGCAACATGAAAACATCATCTATCTTTGTCGGATACATGCAACAGTTTGTTTAGACAATAAAATTCTGTTTGTCTCTGTCTAACATATCTGAAACTTCATTAACACGTTCGCTGCCAAACATATTTTTTAACATGTGTCCATTACGCCAAACATATATTTTACATTGAGCACTAGTGGGCCACCATATAAAAACGACGTTGGTCCCATCGGGGTCACATTCCTCATTATGGAAAAATCTAAGGAATTATATGTGCGGTGTATAGCTTCTAGGCCATGTTGGTCCATTTCTGCAGGCGTACATAGGCAACTGAGCGTCAACAGCCCAGCAGCTATTAGAAAATGCGTTGACCCCATGGGACAAACATAGCCAGGTAAGGCAAAATATATGTTGGTTCTATTGGACCAATGTGGCCTGCTCAGGCAACATGAGTGTTGGTCCCATATGAACGTGTTAAAAATATTCACAAATCACTGTTGTTTGTCTTTACTACAGACTAAAATGATGACGTAATCGTCATCTTTCGTGATTTCTACTATATATCATTATTGGCGAAAAGCTGTAGCAACACACAGGTGGCTAGTCTTAGGTGTAAACTAAGGATATTCATTGCCAGACCTAGGATTAACCAGTTGCATTTTGTTAAAACCAAGTCTAGCCAATCCTTAGTGATTAAAATTAGATAAATGTTACAAACACGTTTGGGTGGGTATTTTTAAAGAAATGTCATTATTTTAGCCGGTATTAGGTTGGCTAGACCTAGTTTTAATCAAAAGCAACTAGATTTAACCATGAATACATTTTCTTCATCTAAGACTAGCCAACTGTCTTCAGCTACACCTAGTTCTAGTTGTAACTGCATTTCAGGGCTTAGCCATAACATATATAGTAAGTAATTGTTCTAGTGGCTAGTTAAGAGATCAAATGAATACAGGATAGAAATGGCAGGAAGAGTTAGACAATATGCAATAAGTCAATTCAATAAATCTTTTGCACCAGAGCAGAAAGATGTAGATACAAAAAATAATATGCTAGAAAGCATGAAGATAGTATCTGAGGTATATAGACCACACAGATATAGTAAAAGGAAAACTGCACCTCCAGCAGACATAGAATCTAGAGTACAGTTAACATTGCTTGAGTATGGACACAGAGGAGGACTTAGGTTAATTGCACCCACTAGTGATGAAATTGATCCAGAAGTAGTTATGGAACAAGAAAAAAATTACCAGGTAAATTGTTTATTTTAACATACATCTTATTGTTGTTTGTAATTGTGATTTTTTCTTGTTCAAGTAATTTTAGCAAAATTGTTGCTTAGACACTTTTCCTATTTTCCTTAGAATTGATGTCAAAACTCTGTTTATATAATACAACAAATATTTTATGATATAAAAAAATAATTTTAAAAGATTTGTTTTAAAAGCATGAACTTACATTATTTTTTATGAATGGTATATTTTCTTGATTTGTGTTCAAAGTTTCGCAGCATGTATTTCCTTACATTTATTTTGATTTGCCTCTTTTGCCTTATGCTTATTGTTTTTGTTATGCTTTGATAGAAGAAACTCCAGCAGCTGACAAACAGTTTGGTAGATTTAAAAGAGGTGAGTAGCTTTTACATTTATTTTGTGTTTAGGATTTTGTGGAATTCATAATGATAATAGTAAATGTTCATAATCTATAATTCAGATTTAAATATATGTATATAACATTTCAGGATGCAAGTAGCTCTTATGATTTAAGTGAAGAGGATAGAAAGAAAATATCCAAACATTATACTTCCTTACAGCTAGAACTGAAGGTAAATGAACAAAATGGTCAATATAACTAACATTAAATGAACAACTAAATACTTTTGTAGGACGGTGGCGCGCTCTCTAAAGAAATGTATAGATTAAAGACATTGAATGATCAGAAGCAGTTACTAACTGAAATGACTGGAAAACTCAAAACAATGAAAACAGCTGTACAAGGAGATATTGAAGAAACTAGCACCATGCTAGAAAGCATAAGACTGAAAAAACAAGAGGCTGATAAAAAGTTGAAAGAGTTGGAGGAATTTGAACTAAATGACCCAGAGTATGTCCCATTTTGTATAAAAAATATGTATTAAAGCTCCTGCGGCATGTACGAGGACGGACCTATAAGTAGTTAAGCTCACCGCCCGATGGCGCCAGTATCGCAAGACACATTTATTAACGTATAGTAGACCGCTACTGTCAAAATTTCAGCCCAATCGGACCGCGTGCCAAAGCGGGTGTTTTCGGATTTTAGAAAAATGGAAAGGAAAATGCGCCCACGTGTCCCGAAAACGGCTACCATGAGAATAACGTGACAAAAATCGACGATCTCGTATTGGCAGACCGTCGATTGAATGTGCGCTAGATAGCTGAGGCAGTAAGCCACTCCGAACAATAAGTGCAACTGTAAGACCGCTTCAGAGCGGTGTTTAACGATGTTTAAGCTTAATGCTCAAATGTATTTTTCAGTGTTGTTGGGAAATGAATCGCCAGTTGCCCAAAATTTTCGTTTTAAGTACTTATCGGACCGCCCTCGTAAATCATAAAACTGTCTCTAAGTGAAATTTTGAATTGTGCAACATTATAATAATCATGTGATGTTTGTTCTCGCCAATGTAAGTTATAATTTGAACAAATGAAGTGAGTATATACAATATATATATATATATATATATATATATATATATATATATATTGTATATATATATATATATTATATATGGGGTTGTCCAAAACGGACGCATATTAAAACAAGAAAGATTGATATTCAAATCAAGTTGGGTACTTTATTTTGAAGGTTCATTTATACCATTTATGTATGAAAAATAATATCGCCAAATATTCACCACGACTGGATTTACAGACGTCCACGCGGTGGTCGAAATGTTCAATGACATTTTGCAACATGGTCGGTTCTATGGCATTTATCTCGGCAATGATGTTGTTTTTGAGTTCTTGGAGGGTGGCTGGTTTGTTGACGTAGACTTTGCTTTTCAAATATCCCCATAAAAAGAAGTCCAAGGGAGTCAAATCGCACGATCTTGGTGGCCATGGCATATTTCCTCTGCGCGAAATCACGCGATCACCGAAGAAGGACTGCAATCGATGGATATTGACGTTGGTTGTGTGGCATGTTGCACCGTCTTATTGGAAATAAACATCGTCCATATCCATTCCTTCAAGTTGCGGCAAAAAATAGTCCTCTATCATCACGTGATATCGCTCAGAATTGACGGTAACGGCGTCCCCGGCCGCATTTTCGAAAAAGTAAGGTCCGATGATGCCTTTTGACCACAATGCACACCACACAGTCACTTTTTGAGGATGCATCGGCTGCTCTTGATACTCACGGGGATTTTCGTTCGCCCAGATGCGGCAGTTTTGCTTGTTTACCGTCCCATTCAAAGTGAAATGCGCTTCGTCGCTGAACATGATTTTTGATGAAAAATTGTCATCAATTTGGCGGTGTTCAAGGAGCCAATCTGAGAACGTTCGGCGCGAAAAATGGTCGGCCCGACGCAGCTCTTGCGTCAATTGGATCTTGTAGGCGTGTACATTCAAATCCTTGTGGAGATTGCGGAGCAAACTGGTTCTCGAAATGCCCAATTCTTGGGATCGACGCGTTGTTGATTGTTTCGGATCGTCTCTCACACTCTCCTTCACAACAGCAATATTTTCCGGTGTGCGAACGCTCCTTGGCCGGCCAGAGCCTGGCAGATTTGCCACAGAACCTGTTGCCTCGAATTTACGCACCAGACGACCGATGGTTGTTTCGTTGGGCGGTTGTTGCGACCGAAATGTTCACGAAGCGCGCGAAACGTGTTTTTTACTTTTGTAGTGCTCTTGAATAACTTTAATGCGGTCTTCAATCGAATAAGACTCCATAGCGATCAATGGTAAACATTCAACTAACAAAATGACATGTCGGTGACAGAAAACAAAGATGGCGTCTATTTCAAATTGACGTTTACTTTCCTGCGTCCCTATTGGACAACCCTTTATATATATATATATATATGGATACTTCGACAAAATTCAAGCAAAAAGGACTCTTTATACTTTATTAATCTCTAGCTTGCTTTCAATGGACTTTGCCATCTTCATCAGGAGAGTCGTATGTGAGATTGTTGCTAAATGTTATTAACGTTAAGGTTGAGGGAAACAACCAGTAACCTGGTGAATGCTGAATACATGGTACATTCGTCAAAATTAATATAAACTACACACAGCTGTATGTCAGGAACAAATTAAAACGGATTGAAAATATCTAAAACGAAAGTTAAAATTACATCGTGAACCACCTCATGCTGCACAAAATGTTGGGCACAGGATCACCTGTGTTTTTTTTCATTCTCTCTAGCTCTCTCTCTCTCCGGCAAATAGTAAAACCGTCAATTCCATTAGGCGCGTTCGCCCCAAATACGTCTTGCCACCTGTATATTTTTCGACATGATGGTTACTCGCTTAGCGTGGATCGCGCACAAGTTCGTATCCTCGAATAGTCCGACGAGGTAGGCTTCGCTAGCTTCTTGGAGTGCCATTACAGCCGAACTTTGGTACCGCCGCAAATCGGTCTTGAAATCTTGCGCTATTTCACGTACCAGCCGTTGCAAGGGCAATTTTCTGATCAACCATTCGGTACTTTTCTGATAATGACGAATTTGTCTGAGAGCCATAGTTCCCGGAAGATAATGGTGAGGTTTCTTGACTCCGCCAGTAGCAGGAGCACTTTTACGGGCAGCCGTCGTGGCTGATTTCTTCCTGGGAGCTTTACCTCCGATGGATTTACGAGCAATATGCTTGATACGCGCCATTACGATAGATTTCAGATAACTGAATAAAAATTGTCTGTATACTAGCGACGTGAATATTGCAACGAGCAATATTATAATGAGCCTATTGTAACGTTAATAACATTTAGCAACAATCTCACATACGACTCTCCTGATGAAGATGGCAAAGTCCATTGAAAGCTAGAGATTAATAAGTATAAAGAGTCCGTCCTTTTTGCTTGAATTTTGTCGAAGTACCCAACAAAAGGCGGAAGCTTTATTTTTCACCTATGGTCTAACTAAACGACAATGACCACGTCTCAAGTTTATATATATATATATATATATATATATATATATATATATACCAAGACATATCATTTAAGTCAAACAAATATCTTTACATCAATTGTTAAAAATACAAAAGTTTCAAAAAGTATATGTTTGATTAGTAATTTAATAAGACTTCAAATATTTTAGTATCTTCATATTTGTGTTTCAGGGGCGTGAAAGAAATTGAAGAATTGGTAGCTTTAAGTGAAAGCTTGAAACTACAAGAATCCCAGTTTAAGGAACAGTGTAAAAAGGAATTAGTACAATTACAAAATCAAATTGAGTAAGTACCTGTAATCACATTTTTACGTTTATTTTTTGTAAATCAGGTGATTGGAACTTGAAAGGTATTGTGTTCAGTTTAACGTTAAAAGTCTTTCCATATATCTGATTCTTTATATAATTTCAGGGAGACTCGAAAGGCGAAAGCAAAAACTCCAACAGAACTTAACTCGGAGATTATCAAGGAATATGAAGACGAGACTGAAAAAATAAAAGTTGCACGATTGCAATTAGCGAAAAAGAACAGACATGTAGCTGCATTACAGAGACAGTTGGATAATGTGCCTAACAGAGCAGAACTTGCCCAGTATCAGAAGCGGTTCCTAGAGTTGTATAATCAAGGTATGAATTTGGATGTTTTTCTTCATTCAGAAACGATCCTATCAAAATCCCCCATGGAATTAAAGCCATTCAGACTTACTGTATCTCTCAGTATCGCTTTTTGCTGATGCTGTATGAAAATCCTTGCTTATAGTCTAGCTTTCCCAAAAAGCTGCTATCGTTTGAGTCAGTCTACTTGACTGTTACGTCTTTCATTTCAGTGGCCGCAAAACACAAGGAAACAAAGCAGTATTATACACTGTATAATACTTTAGAGGATACGCGGCAGTATATGCAGAGAGAGCTATCACTTTTAAATTCGATATCAGACAGCTATCCAGAGGCCATGTCATCATCTAGCGGCAAGGAGGAATTCCTACTACAGTTCCAGAATATCGTCGATAGCGTTAGGCAATCTAAAATGAAAGTAGAACACAGGCTGAACGAAGAAAAGAAAAAGAGGGATGAACTCAGTAGTACTCTACAAGGTATGTATAGGTTTGTCATTGGCTTTTCAAAATCTGACGTTATAGACAGTGTCCCATTTTAACCCCCCACCTAAATATTACGAAAATCGTACATTCTAGGAAAAATGTTTCAAAGAAAAGTTGTATTCGTAGGACCTTTATCCATTGGTCACTGTCTAATGTACGTTAGTCGAATCTATCCGTCCTGGTTTCTCAAAAACCAGACAATGTCAAGGGAAAAAAGAAAGGGAAAGAGAAGAGAAAGGAGAAAAGAAAAACAAGTTTACGAGGAAACACTTGGTACACGGATTAATTTTGAGGTGAACTAAAAACAAATTTTGATTCAGGTTTTGTTAGAGGTTTTGAGTTAGAAGTTCGACCTATTTTTTTTTAACACAGTACGAGTCATGGCCTTGAATGTTTACGAACTTGCTCCACAGTGTAGTCCACTGAGTCAAGTAAGGAATGTCAAAGTCTCTGTGTACTGTTTCTTATAAAAGACATACCATGGAGTTTTGCAAATTGTTCGTCAAGTCGTGCTTGTGGCTGGTCTAATAATCATTTTACATAGTCTAACTTTGAGATGGTTACCGAAACCATATTTGGAATTTTGTTTTCAAGGTTGCTGTATTTTTCTGGCAGTGTTGCTGTCCAGTGACCCTGTTGAGTTACTCTGAGTAACTCACTAGCACCAATACCATTCCACTGCACTTGTATTCTCTTGCATTGGTCTTGTAGCAGTTTGGGAGCATATCACTTTCAAACCAAAAATCACTGGAAAGCATTTCAGGTCAAACCATCATCAAGGGTGACGCTGAGATATATTGCAGAATTTTTCCACAGTATACGATTTCCGTCTACCTAAACCTCGGCTGGAGAAGTTGTGGGGTTTGAAGCGACCTTGACAACGACCTTTTAATTGGAACTCTCTCTTTGTCACATAGGAGTTGAAAAGGGGAACAAATTTTACGACTGAGTACTCTGACCTTTACCTTCAAGACCTTTTCAAGGTCAAATCAAGGCATGAAAAACAATTTGCTCTAGCAAATATGATTGGCAGTGCAGTTGTGAGGTTTGAAGGGATTACCCAGAGCTGACTCTGACCTTCAAGGTCAAGTAAACATTTCCAAAGAGAACCTCTAATTTTTTGTATTGTATTTGTATGTCTGAATGTGTCTGACCTAAAATAACATTCAACCTTGACGGGACCTTGACTTTGAGGACAAGGTCAAATTCGGACGTAAAACTTCCTGCTTTTTCCTATTCCAATATGTAAATGATCTTAGCAAATGTTGACGTGAAGGTTATGGATGCTCCTCACAAACCACACAACAGTGTTGTCGAACATTTTTTCTAGAGCAAATTGTTTCTGATGCCTTGATTTGACTTTGAAATGGTCCTAATTGTCGTATCTGGGCATTGGCGAACCCTCGTGTCATCCATCAACGACCACTACAACCTCGTCCAGTCACAGTTTGGTGCGGTGTTTGGTATGAAGGTGTAATTGAACCGTACTTCTTTCAAGACGCCACTAGCGAGCGCTGCCGTGATATGACGCAAAACTTTCTGGCTTTTTAAATGCAGCAATTTAACCTGCAAAACATGTGGTTCCAGCAGGACGGAGCAACTTGTGACACAGCTCCCTAGCTAAACAATGGATCTTTCGCGAACAATATGTCCGGGACGTCTAATTTCTCCATTTGGTGATGTCAACTGGACACCAAGGTCACCAGATTTAACGGCTCCTGACTTTTTTACGGGGATCTTTGAAAAATAGGGTTTATGCTAACAAACCAAATACCGTGAGCAGCCGAAGAACAATATTACGGGAGCGATCGAAAATATTCCTCCCGAAACCTATCAAAAAGTGATGAAAAATGTAATCAAGAAGCGTCTGATATTATTTTTCATACATAATTTTCAAGTTTCAATAGAATATTAAGATGAACAAAATTTTCGTATTTTATTTCATTTCGCAAATATTCAAGATACAAACCAGTCAGTTACATATCGGCCACCCTGTATAGATGTCTGCGTACTATGTACTGCGTCTTCCAGTAGACGGTATCTGCTTGTTTGCTCTCTGTTGCCTGTCTCGAAGACTAGACCAATACAATACTTATGATTGCTAACAAACATGAAACAACGTCGTATATGGTGGTCATGGTCGCATGCAAAATGATTGAAGGCATTTGGTATATCCTTCTCGAACAAATCATTTGACTGACTCATTTTACTTATTGTAAATTTTCATTCCAGGTTTAGTAGAGTTACAGCGAAAATATGTCGCTGCTGTACGGCAGTTGAGCTTAGAATGTCAGAAACACGAAGTTCTGTTGGCCCAGAGAAAAAGCAAGTCTTGAATATAGTTCTTATTCAGTCAAGTGAAACTTGCGTTATACTCGTTCAAAATGCTGTTTATTTTTTCGCCGTCATACATTATCATTTCACTTCACCAACGATAATCGATAATAAAGTTCGCTTTGCAGCATATTTGGCTTTAATACCTCATAGGCAAAGCCAAACAATTGTACATCACATTAATATTAGGTTTGTATATGTATAGTTAGAAAACTATATCTATTAGAGTTCCCTATCTGCCATTTTTTCCAATTGCATTTATTTTATGGTGCAAAAAAACGCCCTGATAATATTTATGAAAATAAAGGCTGTGTAGAAACAAATTGGAAATATTCACAAGATGGTAACGCTTTTATTACTTTTATAATCATGCTCTTCTATGTGATCGTAAAAATAGTGTATAGGTGTTTTGTATATTCCGACATATGATAAAGAGGAATCAATAAAAATTTATAATTATTTCACTATGCTATATTTTTAAATCCACCTGATATCCGTACTCGCTTTCAAGGCTCATTAAACTTGTAATGTTCACTGGACTATATTCGTCAATCTGGCTGGTGATGTCGACTGCTCCCATTCAAGGTGTTTGTCTAATAAACTTTCAAACTTATTTCACCGGACTGAATCCGTTATCCGTCCACAGACGTCGAATTTAATGAGTTTGCCGATTAGCAATGTAAACTTCACCAGACTATTTTCTTTAATCCTCCGGTGACCCGGTCGCTTTGATGGATGCGGGGGGCAAAATAAAAATAGCTTTACCATCCACATGCTAATGTTATGGTTATACAGCTTTGCCCCAGAAACGATTAAAAAAATAGAAGTTATCATCTTCCCAGTGCGAGGACTCTCTAATCTTCCGGCAGAGAGAACTTTTGGTGGAAGAGATTTTAAGACGACACGCGGTCATAAAAATACCTGATAAATATTGGGAACGTTACAAACAAGAAGGTAAAATCATAAAACTTGGAACTGATTAGTCATTGGTGAATATAAAACAAGCTTCAATCTGTTTGAAAAAAGTCCAAGAAATTAGCTCAAGTAAAAGAATAATCATCAAACGAGGAAAGCCCTCAGGCGTTGTGGTGAAATCTGAATTGCTGTATCGAACGGATGATCCAGCAAAAAATTTCAAACTTTGTTGAAACCTAAAAGGCGGTTATATAACCGGTTATATATATATAATTTCATATGAAATCGAACTTCCTGAAGTACGACTTGGACATGAAATAAAGCAGAAAAAGCTTGATAGTCTAAATCTAAATCACCTACTTGTTAAATTGTTTGGTGACGAATGGTATGAAACAGACCCGTAGCTGAAATGGATGGCTGAAATATGTAAAAAAACTGTAATGATGAAGAGCACGAAAATGAAGAAGCTTGTGGATGCGCTGAGAATGATGATAATGAATTAATTTAAAAATAAAATCGTTTACTACTAATATTATAATACTTACAAATTTTGTTTTGTTTCAGGATAATGTTTCAATATAAATAAAACACGATTTTTTATTTTTGTTAACTTGACAATGACATTCAAATTGCATTTTGTCTACTACTAGAGACAATCAAACTGTCCCACAATTTTTTTAATTTTTTCAAGTTGTTTTTCGACTTTCTTGTACCAAAACTTGTAATGGAGGTCCATACACCTGATAACATATTATCCCAAAAGTTTTTTCTCTTATGGTTAGTTTTTCTTTACTAGTTTTTTGCTCCTGAAAATTGGTAAAAATGGAAAAAATGCGATTTGCAAGTCTGCTCCTCAACTGATCTTTGATTTGAATTCAACGATCACGAAAACCTATGGCGCGCGTCAGACCCGCATACTGGACTTATTTTGAATTTGTCCTTGAAATGACCTTCGTGTCCTTATCGTGACTTACTGACCTCCGATTCGGACTTGGTGAACAAAAAACCTAGATGACATACGTTTGGGATCAACTGCTGGGCTCTAGAAAACGTACTTGGTATGACCTTGAAGTGACCTTAAAATGCCCCCAGACTTGAAGTCGGCGACCCATAAAAAATCCACTGCTCAAACTTGCGAAATTATTTCTCATTACTCCATTCGCTTCTGTTCTTTTGCCAAATAAACCAGCAAAGTTAATTTCACTAGACTATAATCTCAAGAGCGTTAGTGAGCATCATCAGGCTTCCGACCTGTACAGCGCCCATCAGCCAGATAAAGTGTATTTTTAAGGGTGAATAAAAAAGTCTTGGCATCTTCTGTATCACCATTTTATTGTAGATAGGAAATTATAAAAATGGATACATTTTTATTGTGTATAACTAGGTCATCTTAAAGCAATAATCAAGGTCTTTTCTTTCATTATATACAGTAAGCAATATATACACAGAAATATATTTACAAACCATGTAGATAATAGATACATCTATGCATGTTTGAAGTGACATAATTCCTAAATCAACAATATACAAACAATATACGCGCTTTTTATATCTTATGGATAAGAAGTTGGGTATATGAATAAAATTCGGCACATCTCAAAGATCATTAAAGCAATGAAGGGTTTCCGAAATGTAAGTACCAAACCTCAACATATCTTTTACAGACGTTGCTTGTTGAATAATTTGAGTTCATAATAGTTTGATTATGTAGGAAGCTTGTTCAATAGGTACCCGTCTTTGACGTGTTCCTGAGGGAAGTAGGTGTTAACATCGTGTGCTGCCATCTATCAAACGACGGCACAACAAATTTCAGACTAAATCGATAGGTTAGTTTGGATTTGACAGCCATTCGAATAACACATGTTTCGAATTTAAACGTGGGCCAGGAGCGACCAGGATGCCCGACAGACGTGGTTATCGAGGAAATCATTCAAAAAGTCCACAATCGACGAACGAAAGTGCGGGAAGTAGCAAAGGTCATGGGGACGATTTTTTGGGATGCGAACGGCGTCATCATCATGGATTTTTTTAGAAAAATGAAGAACGATCACGACAATACTGCAGCGAGTTATTGGACCTCTTTGACAAGGAGACACGGCCACATTTGGCGAAAAAGAAAGTGCGTTTCACCACGATAACGCACCAGCACATTCGTCGGCAAACTGTATTAATTCCGCTATGAAGTGCTGCCGCACCCCTCGAATTCACCCGATCTCGCACCCTGCGACTTTTTCTTGTTCCCTAACATGAAGAAATGGCTCGCGGGACAAAATTTAGCTCAAACGAGAAGTAATCGCCGAGACAGAGGCGAGTTAAAAAATGGCAGGACCGTTGGGAAAAGTGTATCTTTCTAACACGGGTACTTTCTGAACCGCCCTCGTATGCATGAATATTTGAAAGCACACTGTAGATTTTTCCAGTGATGAGTGTTCGTACCCACATTTCGAAAAATATCCATTGTTGACGAAATCGTAACTTTTTGTGGTTAGCTCAGCTCAGGAAATGTCAATACTCTTAAATTCAAAACAGCTGGTATGGTATACTGAATCACAACAGAACTAGTTCATTATATTTTTTTACAATCAACATACTTTAAAACCCGTTACTCTACATAGAGTACGCGATGTCATTATCATAATAGAACTGTCTAGATTCCACATGACACAATATCAAAAATTGATATGAAATTTGACATGAAAAATATGTTCAAATATTGGCGAGCTCCCTTGCCGAATAATAATGGGGTCACGATAAGGAAAACAATACAGTATTTTTTACTGTACTTAATTATGTCAAATAATAGCTGATCATCTGGTAACATCCAAAATACCTTATATTGACAAGTGACATCTATGACGGATCTTTCAAAGCCTGATCTGTAGACAGTCGTATTTTGGCGTGGTTTTTTGTATGCTACAGATTCATAATTTCTAACAACGCTTTTATACGTGTACAAAAGACAAACGATACAGGCAACACGGCTGTTGATACATTGAACACTGACCTGAGAAGGATATAAATATTTCATTTATTTCGAAGCATTCCACGTCAGGCAAACCCAATACAATTTATTAATCACAGAACTCATGAATGTCAATGAGGTAATCATCGTTATTATATTTCTATTCAAAACAGTTTTTGACTATGTTGGCCGTCTCTACTTTTTGAATACCGTCCTCAGTTTCATGCGAACCATTATTGCCAACAGTCAAACTGTAATATAAATTTGATATTCTCCGGGGACCTTTTTCACTTACTTTTGCCACGTTGCCAGTTACCGTAAAAGTTTTCATGTCAAATTTCATATTGTTATGAGACGCTTACTGCTAAATTTATAGTGCTACCAGAATATATACCTACAACTTCTAGAGAGCCGATGTGTAAAATATTACAGATAAACGAGATACTGGCAACATCTTCAAGACTCTTATCACTCTACCATAGTTTTATGCTGAAACACGGGAGGCTTACTGAAATATAGATCAACAGATTTTCAATAAAAATACGTTCATTTGAATTTTCTCTTTGAGAAACTTCTATGGTGAACATATTTTAGCTGGTCCAAAATCTCAAATTGAGTAGAATTGGTTCAGCGATTGATGACTGTTATGATATTCACCATGAGTTTTCTGATAACCCTTGATTCTCAATCAAATATTTTGATTGCGAATCAATGCATAAGAAATTAATTGACAATTGATTTATACCTTGGAAAATACTAAGCTGTACCTCATCTGTGTTTAAACGAATTTCCAATTTATTGCATAATATTTTTCTTTGTAATCACCCCAGAGAAATTATAAATTAGCATTGATAAAAGTCTTTGCCTACTATACAGTATTAATAATATTAGAGTACATTTTTCCAATAAAATGGTACACATTACTGTATTTTGTTGCTAAGATTATACCATAGCATGGTGGTACTATCAATTATGCTGGGATCATAACACAAACATATTGGTCTGTTCAGCATTTTTTGGCGGTTGTGATGAGAAAAATTAGTTGTCAGGTTATTTTTTGCAGAAATTCAATATAACTAGTCAGAGAACTATGATGTCGCAAGATTGACAACGTCGCATACGTAGTTATCGTGTAAGATTTAAAAACGTTTCATTCATGACTCGAATGTGTCATTGTGAGTGCGTGTTTACGAAGCAACTTGTTATTCGAATTTTCTTTATTTTTATCAGCAGTGATTGTTTGCGTGTTTGTGAAATCAATAATCGTGGGTCACTGCTTCATACGTAAAATTATAACCCACAAAGCAGAACATGTTTCATTTCATAGATTCCCAGTGGCGCGGTTGTTATACCCTAAACGCAAGTTGGATGTTTTAATGTTTTTCGACTCCGATTTTTGCACAATGTTCACTTTCATGTAATTTTATTATTTTTATATTTATGGATACCATAGTTGGTTATATAAAAGTTATGGATATATTCTTTTTTTCTCGTTTCTCAAATTAATTAAAACTTAATGTTTTCTAAGCAAAGCATACTTTTTGTGCAACGTAATGTGCTACGATTTTCTCTCTTCATACATCTCGATACTTTGATACTTCTGAACTATATGTATACAATGGATCATATCAAGAACCTGCAGCAGCAGCAGCACGATACATGTTTAATTCATTTTAGAGGAATCTCAGTGACTACAGCTTGGCCTATTAGATTAGATGTGTTTGTAAAGTTGACCTTTTTAATTTTTTTTTTAATGCAAATTGTTCGAACTGTCAAATCTGACTCCGACCTCGAATACCGATCCTATGCTACGCCACTGGATTGCGCTTCGAACGTGTGGCCTTGCAAATTATATGTCCCCCAAAGTCGGCCTTTTTCAGGCTTCGTTTCTACCCACACTTCCCCCTGGTCAATCGACATGCTTATTTTTGATTTTATAGATGAATGAAGAGGTCTATATTTTTGAGTAGTCGCTGAGTGACCTACATAAGCGGCACAGTCTAACCTTCCTAGAAAAATTGCACACTGCCAAAGCCAGTCTATCGCAGCTGCTACTCGCTCCCGCACACACGTAAGTGATAGAGCACCGTTGTTTTCATTCAATTTTAGAAATCGTTCATCGTTGGGTTGCGCGATGGTAGCGCCGCCTAGAGGATGTCGGACAAGCATAGGTGACGTTTGGTCGATTAGAGATTAGGATCGATCTGACAAATGACAGGGAAATATTTGCACCTTCACCAGGCATCAGATCACCCTACATGACACATATTTCACCATAGAGACCACGCCTATATTTCACTTTCTGTTCGATGACATCTCCAGTTTTATCCACCGCGTGCACGGCGATTGATTTAGTCACCCCCCTACTATATACTGCGCTCCCTGCGAGTATGGTCTCTGGTGGCATTATCCACTAGTTATATTTTTAGATAAGCGAGTTGTTATACTGACACTGATAAGGATAGTTGTAGAACACATATGAGAACTAGACAAGTTTCGAGACAGTGAAACTACTAACAAACGTAAGTCTGTGATCTCACCCAAAGATACGTCCACTCACAGAGTCTTTGTATGTACGTGTGAGGGAGTTTCAGTGTCCAGCCAAATACCTATAGCATGATACTGTATAGTGGGTGAAGACCTTTACTCTTCTTCCAGAATGCAACTCTCGCAACCGTTTTCCTTAAAACCATCCGTTTTTATTTAAACTGATTCACTCTTCGTACATATACCGTCCTAGCGGTCAACTGAACTCCACACATTCTCACACCACTCACAACAATAAATACCCCCTGTGTCTCCCCCTACTGCTTAAATAGACACTACGTTCCCCCCTTTTATTTCGGCTGGGTCTTTCCGATTCAGTTTCTTCCACGTGTCGCCCAGGGCCTTCGCGAAGTGGTCGTCGACAGATAGTCCCTCACTATCCATCAGTTGGATGACGCTGGTTGGTGTGACAGGTGTGGGTGGCTTTGGAGGGGATTTGGGGGCCGGAGGCGGCGGGGACTCCTTCTGGAAGACTGCGTGGTAGGCGCTGCCTAAGGAACGACGGAAGTGCTCTTCGATTATGGGATCGCACATGGACATGCCTGCAAAAAATAAAATATGGTGTCGTGTAGTTTGTTTCAGTACTTTCTGCGAATTGGTATAAGTACATCCATTCATCTAACCAGTGCCACTATTGATGCAATTTATATTGAAATCCCAGGTCAAATTAAGCCGGGATATAATTACAACGGTTCAAGGTAAATTCGTACTTGTCTCTACAAAATACTCGGAATTGACGAACTATCAAGTAACATTTTATTAGCAGCATATATATATATATGTTTCAGTTTATTGTTGCAATTTTTTGCTTTTTGAATAAAAAAACTGATTTTTCGCACTTTTTAACATAAAAAAGCTCTCTTGTGAATTTTCGTTATAGTTAGCCGTTTTTGAGATATTTCGATTTGTAAGGTGCATTTTTAATTATTTATGATAAAATAACGTTAAAAAGTCAGTATCTCGATAATTTTTAGAAGTAGGCTGTACCTGCAAATATTTTTGAAATTGAAAGCAGAACAAGGTTAAACGTCAATTAGTTGACAGTTAGTTTTGTTGTCTGTTGAAAACTGAAACGTTTTCTTGCAATTGTGAATGCACGAAATTTAGTTTCTTTTACCCGTTTTTTTTTGTAAGTTTTATATGTGTATGGCTTTGTAAATGGAAACGCAGCAGAAGCAGCCAGAGAATACGCACGAAGATTTCCAGACAGACGACATCCAACTCGCTCAGTATTTGTAAGAGTGCATCGCCAAATGATTGAAAATGGTTTTGGAA